ATAAAGAATGATAAAGATGATGTTCAAACATGACATCAATCAAGGTAAATGATAAGTGACAAAGAAGATATTCAAACATGATATAAAAGTAAACACATGATATGAGATATAACAAAGTCAAAATGAACATCAAAGTATGAAGTTAGATGTGGAAACATCTAAAATAAAACTTAACAAAGTCATAAACAATCATGGTAACAACACAAGAGTGAATACAAAGCATAGTCAAAGCATACATGAGATTAGGTTCTAACAAGACCAAAATGACAACATAAGTGTGGCATATCATAGCATGTTTATAGCAATAACATGTAAACATACAATATAAGCACATAAGTAACAACATATAGGCATGGTAAAGGAATGTGACAACATGTGAGCATGAACATAAAGGATATAACAATATCAATCAAAGGTTCAAGTCAACATGGATATAACAATATCAACATATGAATCATGGATGAAAAGTTCAAGTGTACACATAGAGGATGACTTGACAAAGTCAAAATAAACAAGGTTTAGGGTTTACTAAAACCACTTAATCATGAATACAATTTAGGAATTCAAACAATCATGGACAAGTTATAACAACACTTAATCATGAATAAAATGTATACATGGCTCAAGACATAAGGTAACAACCAAAGGTTCATTGTGATCACAATCAAGTCTAAACATTTAAAAAGGTTTAAACATTACAAGCATGAATTTTAAGAATCAAACAAAGTCATGGTATCAAAGCTTTAAACAATATGGACATGTGATCAAAGATGACTCAAACACATAACAAGCATGCATCAAAGGTTCAACATGGTAAAAGTATCATGCCAAAGTCAAGAGAAATGTTTCATAATCAAACATGAAGAAACAAGTCAATTATACATGAAAAGTCATACATTAAAGTACCTCAAACTTAAGAAAAATCAAAGAGTCATGTTACCAACATCAAACAAGGTTCACACAATATTCATGACATTCATACACATCAACATGACCAAGAAAAGTCAAATAAACATTAAAAAAGAATTAATTAAGGGCCTAAAAATGTGTCTCACTTTAACTAAGTAAAAGTGTGTGGAAAATCTTAGCCACTGGGTCACTTGCTTGGCCTAATTACAAAATGCGCACAATGTATTATATGTTAAAACAACATGAGAAACCTAAAAATAAAAAAACAAACAAAAGGACTGTGGCGAGGGGGATTTGAACCCTAGTCCTTGTACATGCAAAACACTCCAAACCATTGTGGCGCAATGCCAATTCATGAAATAAATGAAACAAAAATAAATAAATATTAAATCATCTTTCCAAATTGAACTATGGCGCCATCATCTTCATCCCTTCCAAACTCCATTTTTGAAAAATCTCAAATTCTGAACTTCCTCATCTCTCAATATTTTTTAATGATGCAAAAATGAAACTTGCCTTTCATGAGGATTCTAATGGTACAACCAATTTAACTAAAAATCAACACACAACAAAAATCGTGACTGAACATAATATGAACCCTAGATGTTCAGAAATCCAAAACTTCACACACACACAAGATAAATTGTAATTAACTTAGGGGATACACTCTACACATTAAAGGATACACTTTTGCTTCAGAAATCAAACCCTAAAAATGACTTATGGTTAAACCATTTTACCAAAAGCGGGTGAATTAGGTGTGAGAGATTGGAAGCTAGCTTAAAGGATCGAAGAGCTTTGCGTTGGAAGCCAAGAAAGCTAAGATATAAGGAATTTTGTTATTGAGCAGTCTTTTGATTAGAAAATGAGGATTGGAAGGTAACCTAAGGAAATAGGGAAAATCCACTAATCGAAGAATTTTTCGATTACCGGATGTAAGGAGGTATAGACCCTTTTTATTAACACCAAGGGATTCTCATTTCTCTAATATAGAATTCCTTTAATTTGCGAAGAGGAGTCATAGTGGAAAATTGTATAGAGAAGTTTATGCAACACATACTTAGATAAATCGAGATTTTTGAGTTCACTAAAGAGGAAATATTGAAGATTGTTCAAGGTGGATACATACACGAGTCCAATGGATCATTCTTGAATGTTGTTTCATCTTCTTGTATCATCTATACTCCCACTGCTACTTCTGATAACACTAATACTACTACGGTTAGGCTTTCCACCGTTGTAATATCGCAAACTGGATGCATCAGATTTTTTTTTTAAAGTTATTTAACTACGGTTGAGGTAAACAACCGTGGTGATAAAGTAAGTGTTACAAGCTTCGAATCCCAACAACTACATTTTTTTCATTTTTCCTATTACAAAAAGCGTGTGTCACTTAAGTTCATAAATAAATAAAAAATTGAAAACTATTTAACCACGGTTTTAATATTCAATCGTTGTTAATATGAATGTACAACATTTGATCTTCTCAAAAGAGAGAAACGACTACAATGATGATGGAAATTTTTCTTCATTTCTCAAGACGGTCACAAGTCATTCAAGAATATCAATCATTAGAAGTAATCATTGCAAGTATTAAATCATCAGATATTTCATCTTCAACCTCTAGTCTATAAATGCATACTTTTATATAATGAATTTCCACTTCTTCAAACTATTTTTCTTAACTTCTCAGCTATAACAACATGAGTTCTCCATCTCAGAAAGCTAAGAGAAATATCTCAACAGAAGTCACTATTGAGAACTAAACAACCACCACAATATAACACCATCAGCAGACAACTGAGGAGGTCCATCCATCTTCCTCGACTACTGTCAGGGATGTGTTAAGGGTGAGGAAGGCCAAGAAGAAGAATAAGATGAAGAAGAAGAAGAGAAAGGCGTCGAGGAAGACTTCTTACTACGACTCAAATAAGGGTAGTGAGGAGCGAGTTATAGATTGGGAAGATTCCTTTAGTGCTAGGGGATTGTTCCGATCTTAACAAAATTATGTAATTAAAAATTATGTTTTATGTACTCTTCCCACCTTAATAAAAAAAATTTCATTTTTGTTTTATATACTTTTTCCTTTATATATAATGTTTTCTCTTTACAAAAAAAATAGTACACGACCAACAAAAATGACAACAACAACAACAGTAATGAATAATAACAATAACAACATTAAATAGCTTTCTAACCATTAAGTTCATAAATAAATAAAATATTGAAAGTTATTTAACCACGACTTTACTATACAACCGTTGTTAAATTTGAAAATTGCATCATGGTTTTTCTATGCTAGACGTGACGAAAAGTGATATTTTTTAGTATATAAGCGAAAGTATCTATTGCTTAGTACATAACAGTCATTTCTCTCAACAGAAAACCCTAACATATTTCACCATCGCTAACTTGAGTTTTGAGATTCGTTCATTAAACTTATGCTTTGGTTTTATTTATGTTTCTTGTTAAAAATGGATTCTCATTTTTTCATTTGGTGAATGTTCTCATTTTTTCAGATTTGTCTTCACCACCTTAACAAAGTGCATACTTTGTTTATGGTACATATGATTTGTGTTGCTATGAAGAAAAAATACAAGAAGTATAAAGTTATTGTGTAAACTTCATTCACCTTGTACTTCTTCTTCAAAGCATCATAAACTAGATGTACTTCATAACTTCTTTCAGTTCCATGATTAGTTTTAAAAAGGTGCATTCTTGAAACATTTTATTATATCTTGTGTTGTTGTATGTTGTTGTTGATTAATGTTCTCAAAACTTCATAATTTTTTTTTGTTTATTATATCTTGCGTTCTTGAACCTTTTTTTTATTTGTTGTATATTGTTGTGTTGTTGATAAATGTTGTTGTATCACTATAACATTTTTACTCTATAGCAACGCCTAATTTTCAGGAAGTAAAAAAATTGTTCTCGTAGAGAGTAATAGGCAACTAACTATATAATTTGTTGCAGTAGCATATTTAATTTTTTGTAAATTTTATACAATGGCCCGAAATCGTTCTGGTAGAGGACAATGAGAACGGCTCCTATTAACAACGGCTAGAGCCGTTCTTATATAATTTTTAATTATTTTAATAAAATATTATTTACTTTCTCATATGTGTATACTTTTCATTCTCCCTCCCAAACCTGTTTTCAGTTCCCTCCCAATTTGATTCTTCGTACGAGCTTCTCTCAAACGATTCATCCTACGATTCATTGTCCCTCCCAAATACGAGCTTCATCGTACGATTCTCTCAAATGTACGAGCTTCTCCTTAACCCTAACATTCATCCCAAATTGATTCTTCATCGTACGAGCTTCTCCCAAACCCTAACATTTTGTTCTTCATCCCATATTGATTCTTCATGGTACGATTCTCTCAAACCCTAACATTCATCCCAAACTTGTGTGTGTGTAAATGTTCTCCTTCAACTTTCTCTATTTTCTGCCGACAAATCTAACGGTTTTGTTTTCATAGGTCTCAATTTTCAAACGTAATAGTGCGCGAGTTTTCAGCGGTGTGCGAGTTTTCGGTTCATCCTGGTAAAAAGGTAATATTTTATTCTAAACAGAACTCAAAGTTGTTTCTTAGAAAGTTTTAAGCCTGGTGATTAGTATAATAGTCATGCTAAAATATTTATGAAGTTTTTAAAAATTTTACTATCAAGTTTAAACATGATTCTGTGAACTTTAGGACTAAATGTATGTTTACAAGTTTAAACAGAACTCAAGAAGTGTTTTCAGGATCGACCGTTAAGAAGGGTGAGATCGAAGCGATTGTGTATGCAACTGGTGTACACATGTTTTTCGGTAAAGCGGCTCATTTGGTTGATAGTACTAACCAAGTCGGGCATTTTCAGCAAGTGCTTACTGCTATCGGAAATTTCTGCATTTGTTCAACTGTTGTTGGAATAGTCGTTGAACTCATTGTGATGTATCTGATTCAGCATCGCAAGTATAGAGACGAAATTGATAATCTTTTGGTGCTTTTGATCGGAGGAATCCCGATTGCAATGCCAATTGTTTTGTTTATTACTATGGCTATTGGTTCTCATATGCTTTCATAGCAAGGTGCAATTACAAAGAGAATGACTGCTATCGAAGAAGTGGCAGGCACAGATGTTCTTTGCAGTGATAAAACTGGAACTCTCACTTTGAATAAACTTAGTGTTGATAGAAACTTGATTGAAGTGTTTTATAGGGGAATGGATAAGGATTTGGTGATACTCTTAGCAGCAAGAGCTTCTAGGATAGAAAATCAAGATGCTATAGATGCTGCTATTGTTGGAATGCTGTCTGATCCACAAGAGGTAAATATCTAAAATCAAAATCTAAATAAATCCCTTTTTTAGAGTAAGTCAACATTTTAGTCCTAGAAATTGTAATGGTTGTGATTGATTATTCAGTTTAGGCTAGAGCCGGTATCAATGAGGTCCATTTTCTGCCATTCAATCTCGTTGATAAGAGGACTGCCCTTACCTATGTTGATACCGAAAGAAATTGGTGTAGAGCAAGCAAGGGGGCTCCTGAGCAGGTAAATACGAGTTTCGTTTTATGATGTTTCATTTTATTTTTTTAAGTAGGAATTGAATTCGGTATCTTAGGATTTACAACATTCGCGCAACCTGGTCATCATCAACCTGCACTAGGCCTTAGTGGTATCTTTGTTATGATTTATAAGATAAAGACTAACCAAGTCATGTTTTTATATTGTGTTAGATATTGGATCTTTGCAACTGCAAAGAAAACGTGAGGCGAAACGTTCATGCAATGATAAACAAGTTTGCCGAGCGTGGACTTCGATCTTTAGGTGTTGCTTATCAGGTAAGTAAAGACAGCATCATTATCATATATGTTTATTTTTCTACTTGAATTAATTCTCTTGTTTTATCATTGTTTGTATCATATGATTTGTGCAACAGGAAGTACCTAAAAAAACAAAAGAGAGTCCTGGTGCAGCATGGCAAGTTGTTGGTTTGTTGCCACTATTTGATCCTCCTATACATGATAGTGCTGACACAATTCGACAGGATCTTAATCTTGGTGTGAATGTTAAGATGATCACAGGTAATATTCAAGGACATACTTTCTTGTTTTCGTAGTTCTAAATTCTGATATGTAACTGCAACTGCGGCTATAATATAAAGGTTTTGAGGTCTCCACAACCCCAATTGCAGAAGCATTTCACAGAGTAGCCGTAAATGTGACATGACTTACAATTTAGAATCATATGCAGCTCATACCATAAATCAATGTTTGTAGCTTTAAATTAATTGCAGATTATGTTTTTCTCTAGGGGACCGGCTTGCTATTGGAAAGGAAACTGGTAGAAGGCTTGGAATGGGAACAAACATGTATCCATCATATGCATTGCTTGGCCATGACAAAGATGCTTCTACTTCGGATATTCCTATTGACGAGTTGATTGAAAAGGCCGATGGATTTGCAGGAGTGTTTCCAAGTATGTCCTTGTTTACATTGATTTTTGGTTTTGTCAAAAGTTTTGACTGTCGAATTGCTCCATCCTTTTGATAGATTCTCTGTAAAAATAAGAAAGTTAACCTTAAAAGTCATTTACATATTTATCATGATATGATATGTTAGAACACAAATATGAAATCGTCAAGAGGCAGCAAGATAGAAAGCATATATGCGGAATGACAGGAGATGGCGTAAATGATGCTCCTGCTTTAAAGAAAGTCGATATCGGAATTGTTGTCGCTGATGCTACAGATCCCGCTAGAAGTGCTTCTGATATTGTCCTTACTGAACCTGGTTTCACCAGCAGGGCCATTTTCCAGAGAATGAAAAATTATACTGTTAGTTTCCTTTGCATATCTATTTCTTGTGCTACAAAATACCTGAGTAACATTTTTAGTTTTCTAATCGCAAAATGTTTGATTATGGAACAGATTTATGTTGTGTCAATCACCATCTGTATTGTGGTATGTGTTGAATTTTGTGACTTTTTTCTATGTACTTACCCTTTAAATTGTAAATATACTTAATAATCGTTGATTTTTCATTTTGACAGTTCGGTTTCATGTTGATTGCTTTGATTTGGAAATTTGATTTTGCACCTTTCATGGTTTTGATCATTGCAATATTGAATGATGGTAAGAATAAGATAGCATTTTCATTACTTCAGGTTAGTTCTACATTTTCTAACCATAGTAAAAATCTTAACACTGGCTTATATTAAGGTACCATCATGACAATTTCAAAAGATAGAGTGAAACCATCTCCACTGACTGACAGTTGGAATGAATTTTGTTATTTTTGTTTCTATTTGTCATTTTTGTTATTTTTGTAATTTTGGGCTTGTTTTGTCAATGGGGAGGAATGAATTTTCATAGTGGCAGGGGTAATTCTCATCAAGCTTAAGGTTTAAATACTCGTTCCGCTCTAGCAACCTGCCTACTTATTAGTAAACTATGAGCCATACCCGAGAAACAAAAGTACAATTCTAGTTAAGCATTTACGGTAAGGCCTATAGTTGAAGATGTTTACTTGTTTCATTCCCTTTGTTGGACTTCTGTCTTACAAGTCTCGGTTCCTCCTTCGAATCTCCTCCGATTTCCATTTCACTTGCTTCTTCTTCTGATATAATTGCTTATTTCTTTCCAATAGCTAGTGAATCAAACAAAAAACAAAGCTAATCAAAAGCTTTTCTTGACACTTAAGTAATATATACTTAACATTTTGTAGAGAATGCGAGCTCTTACGGTTAAGGTACATAAGTGAAAGGGTGAACAGAACATTATATAAAACAGTGAAACCAATAAGAACTCCAACTCCTATCCAGTACCAATTTTCATTACTATAAATATCAAAGATATTCAATATGGCTACACCCAATGATGTTGATCTATTTGAAGACTACAAAACATTAAAACTTCGAGTCAGAACTATAATTTTGGATTAAATATGTTTTTAGTTCGTTTGAATATGATAGTACACACCGGTTTGCTCCACCGTGGAGCGAACATTTCATTAACCGATAAAGCATTGAAAGCATATGACAATGGAGAAATCCAATAGCCCCAGACCCACCAATTTGGAATGTCACATGTTAACACATTAAGGCTTAACCATATTAATGACCATAACAAATTACATAGGATTAGTGCCTTAATTAGAGTTTGATTAATGATTAGTGACTCACGTTTAGGAAGAATGAAACCTCCAAGTAAGAAAACAAGAAGAAGCATGAGAGATCCACCAGTGTTGGCTATGATCATTGTTCTACAAACTCCTGATATTACCCTAAACAACCCAACTGCCATTTGTTGAATAAGAAACACCAGCAACAAATGCTTGAAGAACCTACAATGTTTTATTAGTATTACAAATAAATCACTTAATACTAATATCATCTATCTAATCTTTGCTATACAAAACGCTTATAAAGTTTACTTTAGCTCTAAAAAATTTGTTACAGACACAATATTCATTTATATAGTATCAGAGTGGCATTGCTGACACGATTATGTGAGATTCAACACTTATGGTCATGTTATATAGTATTAGAGTGGCGTACTGACACTAACCATCTCCACTTCAGGTTTGTTTCTATTTGTCATTTTTGTTATTTTTGTAATTTTGAGCTTGTTTTGTCAATGGGGAGGAATGAATTTTCATAGTGGCAGGGGTAATTCTCATCTGGTTAGTGTCTTGGGTGGAGTGGATTATTTTATTATACAAACGTTTGTTGATGATAGGTTGTGCTTGTAATGATTTTATATTAGGATGAGATTTCTATGTAATAATATGTTTGTTATTTTTGTTACTTGATATCTTTTAGTTACTTGGTATTAATATGGTATTTGATGGAACACTATGGTGTCATTTTATCCATTTAGACGACCCTACTTAGTGGGATAAGACTTTGTTGTCATTGTGAATGATGTACATATTTTTTAGCTCTTGGTTTAGGTGAGATAGTAAGTTAATCTCAAATGTTCTGCAACTTTATACTTTTATATTGATATGATGTAGTTGGTGGACTTTTCTATTTTAACACTGTAATTTTAGATCCTTCGAATAATAATCTTATTTAAGTTATATTATTTTTATTTTGCAGGTCATGAATGATAATATCAATGAAGATTTTGAATAATTTAAAGATGAAGAAATGTAGATGTAGAGATGTAGATGTATAAGTTTAATTTTATAGATTAAAGATGTTATTTTGACTATGAATGATGATTGACATTAGGATATTGTTGCACCCCAAAATTTGACCAACATTTATTTACCCATCAAGTGTTTGAAGATTGATACCTTCATCAGAAAGTTCAAGAGATCCTCAGAGAAATTGGTTGAAACCAAGGTTGTGTGTCTCATAACTTGAGAGTTGTGGGAGCTCCCCAGATGATTCTGAGACATTGAGAATGGACTTGAAGCTTTGATAAAGCCTATGAGATGTCTTGAAAGCCATCATGAATCCTAGAGAAGTCATTATGCAAGAGTTCAGAAGATTCAACCATGAATGGTAGAATTAGGGTTTGACTGGGTCAATCCTAGGTCAACTGAAGATTTGGAGAAGGTTGAGACCCAATCCAAAAGCCATGTGATCATGGAATGATGTATTGAGAACTATAAGGATGATTCCTAGACCAACTCATCATGATTGAAGAGTTTGAGAAGTTTTAAGCTAGGGTTTCTAAGGATTGTCAGTGTAAAATCCCCTAGTTTGATCCCTATCTTCCAGGCAGTTTTAGCTCAAGATGTGATTGTAATCTCATCTTCCCCACAACATGAATGTTGTAGAGCTTATTCTTAGATTTAATTTGAGTAGTAGAATTCCTTGATAGGATTTGCAGAGCTCAAGTTATGGTTTTGACAAATTACAGGTCATCTGAGGTATGTGAATCTGGGTCCTTGAAAGTCACCCAACTTGCAGACAACTTTTGCCCTAGTAGGATGATTCCTATGATCTCTTGGTCAACATGAATGTTGAAGAGCATCTTCTTAAATTTCTAGAGAGTACTAGAAGTCCTTGATAGGATTTGTAGAACTCAGCTTATGGCTTTGACAAGCCAAGGGCATTTTGGTCATTTGGAAGTTATAGATCATTTCAAGCACGTGGCCATATCTCCTACTTCTAAGCTTCAAATGGAAAAACCTTCAACATCAAAGTTGCTTAGAATGATGTTTTAAGGCTAGTAGGGTGGTCATGAGATGTTGGAAAGGCTCATATCAAAAAGTGATAAAAATGGCCTAAAAATGAGGCATAAGTTAATTCAAGTGAAATGGAAAATCATAAAATCCAAGCTATAAACCCTAACCATGTCATATGATAGGTCATTTTGACTCTAAAGGACATTTTGAGAACAATGGTTCAGCCACAATTTTGATTTGAGGCTTGAATCTTGGGGTTGCTTTGTAATTTGCTTGATTGCATAATGGCATACCAAACCAAAACAAGGAAAAGCTTAATGAATAAGGGAAATATGCATTGTATATTGTCCTAAATCTCATGTAAGGAGATAATCAAGTTAGTTACCCAAGTTACAAGGGATTTTGTCATGATATATCATATGGTGAGAATGGAAATGCAAATTCTCATGTCATGAAAGTTCAAGTTCTTACTAGATTGATCTAGGAGGTTCTAGACCTTTCTAAATCAGTCTATATATTGAATACAATCTCCATTGGTGAAAGGTTGGTGATTGTTGATGTTAATGGTGGTAGAGAATAGAGATTGAACCAAAATTCTCCATTTTGCAAATTGTATTGAAACTTCATTTTTCTCTTCATTACCCTTCCATTTTTTTTCACAAATCATCACTACAAACATCCCTGAGTATGTTCATGCTAGCTTGAGGTTCCATTGTTGAAGAATTGGAGGAGTTCCAAGTGAAGTTGCAAAGGAGCAAAAGGCATTGGATCTTGAGATACAAGTCATTTCCATCAAATCTTGTGCAAGCAGAGGATTGTTCATCACCTAAAGACTATTCTTGAGGATCTACAAGGCTTTATTCGAAGCTTTTCAACACCTATCATTGCAAGAATCTATTAGTAATAATTCATATTTTATTATATTATTTTCTTAAGCCCATAAGTTTGTTAGAGGGTATTTTAGTATTTATCTTATTCTAGTAACCCTAGTTTTAGCTTATAAATAGGGTGACAATCATTGTAACCAAACAATCATGTTTTGTAGTCGTCATTCTCTTTAATAGAATATTTCCCTATTTCATCATTATTCTATCTTTGCACCAACAATTGGTATCTAGAGCTCCGGTTCAGATTCATTGGGAAACACGGGAAACACGAGTGAACGTGAGGTCTTGTGTGTTTGATTTTGTTTCTCAGATTCTTGTTGAATCTTGAACAAAATCTGATCAGAATTTTTTAATTCTGTGGGTTGGGAAACACTGTGTGAGAAAACTCTGAGTGTATTGTGCAAAGTAGAAGATGAACGGAAACGGCAACATGAACACCAAACTTCCAGTATTTGACGGTAAAAATTGGAATCGTTGGATGATCCAAATGCGTGTACTATTTGGTGCTCAAGATGTTCTAGATCTTGTCACTGATGGTTATGTTCCAGTAGCAGCAGATGCGACTGACGAACAGAAAAACGCGCAGAAGGAAGTAAGGAAGAAGGATCAGAAAGCATTGTTCTTCATTCATCAATGTGTGGATGTAAACGTGTTTGAGAAGATTACAGACTCTACAACAGCAAAGGCTGCATGGGACACTCTGGTGAGATGTTATGGTGGTGACGCATCAGTGAAGAAGGTGAAGCTTCAGTCCTTGAGAAAGCAATATGAGAATCTCAACATGAAGAATAATGAGAAAGTTTCTGAATACATCTCTAGAGTGATTCTGATCACTAATGAGATGAAGGCATGTGGAGAAACTCTTTCTGAAGAAACAATCATGGAGAAAGTGTTGAGATCCCTTACTCCTCAATTTGATTACATTGTGGTAGCAATAGAACATTCCAAAGATCTAAGTACCATGAGAATTGAAGAGCTGCAGAGCAGTTTAGAAGCGCAAGAGTTGCGTTTGACTGAGAGAACTTCTGAAAGGGAAGTAGAGCAGCAGGCTCTGAAAGCAACTTCTGATAGGAGGTATCAGAAGCAGTCAGAAGCCAAGAGAAGATCTGATGGTGGCCATAAGTCAGAAAGCTCAACCTCTGATAGACAAAAGAATGCTCAGAAGGGAAAAGAGAAGTATGACAAGAAGAAGATCCAATGTTATTGTTGTAAGAAGTTTGGTCACTTTGCTAGAGATTGTTGGTCAAACAAGGAGAGAAAATCAGAAGAAGCAAATATAGCCAGAAGTTCTGATGATGAATCTGTGCTATTGATGGCCTCTGAATCTGATGATCTGAAAGACTGGTGGTATATGGACACTGGCTGTTCAAATCATCTTACTGGAAACAAGAAATGGCTGGTTGACTTTGACTCTGAAAAGAGAACAAAGATCAGATGTGCTGATGACAAATATCTTAATGCAGAAGGTATGGGAAATGTCAGAGTGACTCTGAACAATGGGAAAATAGCATTGATTCAGAACGTGTGGTATGTACCTGGCATCAGAAGCAATCTGATGAGTGTGGGACAATTAATTGAGAAAGGTTTCTCAGTTACCATGAAGGACAATCTTCTGAAGCTGTATGACTGTAATCAGAAGTTGATTATGGAGTCAGAACAGGGAAGGAATAGAACATTCAAGGTGAATGTCAGAACTGCAGACTCAGAGTGTCTTAGTGCAACAAGTACTGAGAAGGAGAGTGAGTTGTGGCACAGAAGATTTGGTCATTTGAATTTCAGAAGCTTACAACATCTGAATTCAAAGAAATTGGTACATGGAATTCCTACAATTAAGAAGCCTGAAAAGTCATGCAAAGTTTGCATAGAAGGAAAACAACCAAGATTGCCATTTGCATCAGAAGTTGCTCCAAGAGCAAAACATGCCTTGGGAGTTGTACATTCTGATGTGTGTGTTCCATTTCCAATAGCATCAATTGGAGGGAATAAATACTTTGTGTTGTTTGTTGATGAATTCACAAGAATGACATGGGTATCCCTTATTAAATTTAAACATGAGGTGTTTGATGAATTCAAGAAGTTCAGAATGAAGGCTGAGAATCAGAGTGGTCAGAAGTTGAAGATTCTTAGAACTGATGGTGGAGGTGAGTATAACTCCAAAGAGTTCCAGAAGTTCTGTGAGGAGAATGGAATTGAGCATGAGGTTACTGCTCCTTATACCCCTCAACACAATGGTCTTGCTGAGAGAAGAAACCGTACTCTGCTTGATTTGGTGAGAA